AAATCGTTGAAGAGCACATGGGAAATCAATGGTATGATGTTGTCTCGCACTTCCGCCTTCGACATGCTTCCGCATCCTTTTTTCCAAGCTCGACCCCCCCCCCCCCCGGTTCCCCTGTCCCAGGCTTCGCGCGTGCCCCAGAGTGCGTCTCCCTTTCCCCCAGCCCTCGCTGTCCGCTTTCCCTGTTCTCTCTCCTGCTCTCTTCTCCTGCGCCTCCCGTTCCGCATCCTTCTCCTTCCTCTCCTCCCCCCTCCTCCCCGCTGCGTCAGTTTCCTTCCTCTCTCCTCCTTGTCTCTGCTTCACGCCCTCTACTCTCCGCATCCTTTATGCGATTCGACTCCCCCCTCCTGCATCCCTGTTTCCTCTCCTTCACCCCTTCTCTCTTGAATGAGACTGCATCTCATCCCTTATGCGTTTCCGTTTCTTCTGGGTGTATGGAGGACCTCTTTGATTATCTCGGTGGTGTTTGGGAGGTCCCTTGGAAACCATGTGGGCCAATTGAACATAGCAACTCAAACCATCCAAGGGCTGCCAAGTTCAGTCGAAGCCGTATCGGGCGCGGCCTTAGGGATCCTTTGGGTCGTGCTGCGCCTTGCTGGGAGGTGTTCAGATGTTGCGCGACATACGGTACCACACAGATAGCGCAGCTCACTCTCTGAATGGAGACGACGTCCAGTACGACATCTCGCCATAGGTACGTGTGCAGGGCGATTCCCCCTTGAGTTTTCTGGAAAGCGCCCAGGAAGGCCCCAGGAAGGTGCGCAAGGACATCCTTCTACTTCCTCTCCTCCCCCTCCTCCCTGCTGCGGCATTTTCCCTCCTCCCTCCCCCTCGTCTCTCATTCAATCCTTCTTCCGTTTGGCCGCCCTCACACAGCATCCTGCCCCACTAAGTTGTAGCAGGCCCACCTTGAAAGAAAATCTCGGCGAAGGACCCAACCATATGCAGTTTGTGAGTACCGCACTAGCGTTTATCCTCGTCGGTGGAGCTCCTTATGGGGCCGCGATGTGAGGGATGTGCCAACCTGGTGGCGGGGACGCATGAGGCCAGAGCCATTGGAGCCTTCGGTGGCGCTCCATATGGGACCACGACTAGTGTGAGGAGTGCGCCTGAGTGGGTGGCGGGGGCGCGTGTGGTCACAACCACACGCTTTCTGCGGCGCTCACTAGGGCCCACGACACGTGTGAGGGTTGTGCCGACAAGTGTGGCGGAGATGCATGCGGTCACGGCCACTAGGGCCTTCGGTGGCGCTCCCCATGGGGCCGCGAAACGTGTGAGGGGTGTCCCGGAAGTCGTATGTGATCGCAGCCGCTGAGGCTTTCGGTGGGTTTTCCCATGGGGCCACGAAGCGTGTGAGGGGTGTGCCGAAATGGGTGGCGGGGCCGCGCGTGGTCACAGCCACTGGGGCTTCCGGCGGCGCTCCCGATGGGGCTTCGAACCGTGTGAGGGGTGTGCCGACATGTCACTGGAGCCTTCGGTGGCGCTCCTTCTGGGGCCACGAAACGTGTGAGGGGTGTGCAGAAATGGCTGGCGGGGGCGCATGTGGTCACAGCCACTGAGGCTTTCTGGTGGCGCTCCCTATTGGGCCACGAAGCGTGTGAGGGGTGTGCCGAAATGAGTAGCGGGGACGCATGTGGTCACAGCCACTGGAGCCTTCATTGACACTCGTTATGGGGCCGCGAAACGTTTGAACAGGATGCGACTATTGGAAGGGGGCTCATATATTTAGGGCTCTCGTCTGAGACCTCCTCACGGCCTTCGGAGGAGCTCCCTCTGAGGCCACGAACTGTGCGAGTGATGATCAAAAAGAAGGGTCGGGCGCATGCGGACCCTGCCACTGGGGCCTTCGGTGGAGCTCCCTATGGGGCTTCGAACCGTGTGAGGGTTGCCCCAGAATCGGCGTCGGGCGCATGCGGATTCTGTCACTGGGGCCTTACGTGGAGCTCCTGGAGCTCCCTGTGGGGCCACGAACCGTGTGAGGGGTGTGTCGAAATGGGCGCCGGGCGCATGCGGACCCCGCCACTGGGGCCTTGAGTGGAGCTCCGTATGGGGCCACGCAGCGTGTGTGTAGCGTGCCAAAGCAGAGCCATTCGCACGGCAGAGGCAGGGATTGGAGGAGAAAGGAGTGGGAGGTGACGCGTGTTTCACGTTTCTGGCTTTGGTGATGGTGACGATGATGATGAGTTTGAATGTTGTTGATGATGATGTTGATGACGGCATGATAATGTTGATGATGTGAATGGTGATGCTGATGATGATGATGGTGATGATGATGATGATGATGATGATGATGATGATGATGATGATGATTCGGATGATGCTGATGATGATGATGATGATGATGATGATGATGATGATGATGATGATGATGATGAGGTTGATGGTGATGGTGAGGGCGCCAGGGCGCCAGGTGGTAGGGATGATGATGATGATGATGATGATGATGATGATGATGATGATGATGATGATGATGATGATGATGAGGTTGATGTTCATGATGTTGGCATGATGATGATGATGATGGTGATGATGCTGATGTTGATTATGATGATGATGGTGGTGGTGATGATGGTGTTGATGATGTGGATGATGACGATGGTGGTGGTGATGACGATGATGATACTGATGATGATGATAATGATGATGATGCTGATGATGATGATGACGACGACGACTACGACGAAGACGATGGTGGTGATGATGATGATGATGATGATGATGATGATGATGATGATGATGATGGTGGCGGTGGTGGTGGTGATGTGGATGATGTGGATGATGGCGATGGCGGTGGTGATGACGATGATGAGGATGACGATAGCGATGATGGCGGCACGCGGAAAGCAGAGGCAGGAATTGGAGGAGGGAGGATGGTGAAGGCGTGAGGAGAGACGGAGAGGAGGAGAGGACGCAGGGCGCTGTCTCTTCAAAACTAGGACCCAATACCACAGGATGGCTGGGAAAACAAAGGAACTGCCTCAAACCATGTGTATTCAATCTCGACGCCTCTTGTTTGTTTCCTCCTCTCCCTGGCTGCGTCAGTTTCCCTCCTCCCTTCTCCTTTTCTCTCCTTCACGCCTTCCTCGTTCGGCCTGCCGCATGCTTCTTCTGCTTTCCAACGCTCCAAGACGGCCCAATAGGTCCCCAAGACAGCACCAAGACAGCCAAGAGGTCCCTGCGACGGCGGCTCGAATACGACCCAAGAGAGCGCCAGGACGGCCTACGAGTTCGCCAAGACGGCCCAAGTAGCCGTCAAGACGGCCCCAGAGGCAAGAACGGGGATCCGAACCGATATTTCGAGCCCTGACGCCAATAGCCCCGTGGAGGCGCCCGAGGCGCCCCCAAAAAGTCCCACGAAGCCACCAGGAACCCCCAACAAGAACCGTAGAGGCCCCACCCCCCAGAAACCCCAAAGAGCCGTCCAACAAGGTCTCCAAAGACACCCAAAGAGACTCCCTTTTGGGCATCCAGCCTTAGGCAGTCTGGGGTCCTCCTCGTGGCTGCCTTGCGCGACTTCCTGGAGCCTTATTCAGCGACTCCTGAAACGTACATCAGGAAGTACGTTCCTGGTGATCCTTACGGGATGGTGCCCATTATCGTCCGGTCTGGTGTTATGCTGGCTTGGGTCGCGCATGAACATACGATCAAGATGTTATTGGATACGCATATATATATATATATATATATAAAAATGTATGTATGCATGTAGATATGCATGCACGCATGTATGTGTGTACGAGTGTATATGTGTATGGTTGTACGCATGACTGTATGAATGTATGTGTGTATGTATGTATGGTTGTGTGTGAATGCATGTACATGTGTATATGTCGGTAGGTATGTAGGTAGGTAGGTATGTGTGTATGTATGTGTACGCGTGTATGTGTGTATGTATATATGTGTGTATGCAGGCATGTATGTACGTATGGATTCACAAGTGTATGACTGAATGTATGTAGATGTGCATGCATATTTGTATGTATGCATGTAAGGACGCATGCATGTGTGTTTGTATGTATGCATGGATGTACGTGTATATTAAATGTGCATGTGTGTACGTACGTCGGTATGTATGCCTGCCTGCATTTGTGTAAGTAGATAGGTGCCTACGTACGCACGTGCGTATGTATGTATGTGGGGATGGATGAATGGACGCATTGGTTGTACATATGCATGTATTTCGGGGTGTATGTATGTGGGGTGGATGTATGTAAGTAGGTATGTATGGATTTATGTGTGTATGCATGTGTATGTGTGTATGTGTATGTGTGTCTGCAGGCACGTATGCAGGTATGCATGTATGTATGCATGTGTGTGTGCCTGCAGATGTTGATGTATGGGTTTGTGTATGTAAGTATGTGTGTATGTATTTATGTATGTTGTATGTATACATGTGTATATGGATGTATGCATGCGGGTATGTTTGTGTGTATGTATGCATGTGTATGTATGTTTGTACGGATGTATGTATGTGTGTATGTGTGCATGTATGTGAGTTCGTAGATGTTTGTATGAGTGTGGGTGTACGTATGCATATGCTTCTGCTCTTGTTTGCACAGACATATCGCTCTGCATCTTAATCGCAAACTGATCGTGTATGTCGGCAGATTTGTATAGATGGGGATCGATATGTTACATGCGTATATCTGTATATATTTCATAGCAGGATAAAGAGAGGGACATAGAGAGAGAGAGCGATTGGGAAATCCGATCGGACGAAATCGCAAATCAGAAGATGCGTACATTCCCTACCACTTCTTCCTCATCACCAGAATCGTTCTCTATGAGGGTCTGCATACGCCTTCACTGTCGAGACCAGGAGGTGCATCCACCATCCCAGGGTCCAGGATGACCCTGGCCAGGGATGGCGCTGGTGCACAATTGCCGTTTCCAAAAGAGCAGAGACCAGAGGATACTTGATGCCTGATGCACCAGGCCTTCGCCGCCGATGGCCCCGCCGAGGGCCGCCGAGGGCCGCGCCGGGCGGCCCCGCGTGCCAGGGGCTGGAGGAGTTCCTGCGGGCAGCGGGCCCCGACCGCAGCCTGATCCTGGGCGAGGACATGTCCTGTGCGAGGCGGGGATTTACCTCTCCCCGCCGCCTGGGGGGCGTCGGCGGGCTGTGGTTCCTGCGGGCAGCGGGTTCCGACCGCGACGAGCAACGACATGAACCGAAAAGTCGGCGCTGAGGACCTTGGCGGCGTCTCCGACGCCGACCCTGGCGCTCTCCGCGCGCCGGGGTGGGAGTCCAGCGCCGACCCGAGAAATCCGCGCGTGGGAAAAATACAATAACACACACACACATAAACGCGAGTGTTTTTGTTTCGTTTGTTTTTTGTATATGTCGTTTGTGTTGTTTTGTGTGTGGTTGTGGTGTTTTGTTGTGTGTTTGTTTGTGTTGTGTTGTGTGTGTGTGTGTGTTTGTGTGTTGTGTGTGTTTGTTGTGTGTTTTGTGTGTTTGTTTCCCACAGTGTGTATTTGGTATGTGTTTTTGTGTTTGTTTGCCTCCGAGTTCTTCTGCTCGTGGCACTGGTTGCTCCCCTCGCCCGGGCGAGGGCACGCCCTGCGCGGCGGGCGGGCGGGCGCGGCCCGTCGGGGGCCGTCGATGGTCCTCGAGACGGCTCGAGGCGTGGGCTTATCCATATCGGTCCTCCTCGATCTCGGTCCTCCTCCAGGATCCTCCTCGATCTCGGTCCTCCTCGTGGATCCTCCTCCTCGATCCTCGACCCTCCTCCTCGATCCTCGCCTGCGCTCGATCCTCGACCCTCCACCTCGATCCTCGCCTGCGCCTGCGCAGGCGCAGCCGCCGCCCGAGGGACGGATGCGTGTTGGAGGCTTCGGCGGGCGGTGGACTGAGGGGGACACGCCCTTAGTGGGCCCCGGAAATGGCAGAGCCGTTTTTTCACCGTTTCCGAAAAAGTGCCCCTTGAAAATGGACACGGCAAAAAAACGGCGACCGGAAACGGCCACAACAACGGCCCTGTCGTTCCCAGGGCCCACTAAGGACACGGCCGGCCCAGCCCAGGGCCCCCCGAGCCCGCGCCTCACGTCTCCCCGACGAGTCGCCAGTCGAGGAGCGAGGGCCCCTCCTGCTGCTCGGCGCCGCGGCGGGCCTCGGGAGACCTCCCCTCGGCCACGGCCGGGCCCGCCCCGCCGCGCCCGTTCTCTCTGCAGGGCGGCACCTCTGGACGTCGGGAGCCCGCATGCCAGGCCTCCAGCGTCTGAGGGCACAGCCAGTGGGCGAGTTGCTCCGCCCTCTCCTGCCCGCGGGGAGGCGTCCTCGGGCCCCCCGAGGGCCCCGAGAGGGCCCTCGAGCCGTCCCGAGCAGGCTCGAGCAGGCCAGAGTCCGAGGCAGCCCGAGCGGGCCCGCGCAGGGCCCGCGCAGAGGCGCGAGCAGGGCCCGGGCAGAGGCCCGAGCAGAGGCGCGCGCACGGCCCGAGGAGAGGCCCGAGCAGAGGCCCGAGCAGAGGCACGAGCAAGCCCGAGCCAGCCCTGCAGGAGGGCGCAGGGCGAGCGCGTACGGCTCCTCGGAGGGGATCGGTGGGGGGGTGGACGGAGCCCCCACCCCGACGTCGACTCGTGGATCGTCCGTTGCTCGGCTCTCGAGGGGGCGCCGCGGCCGGCATATTTTCCAGGCCTGCGCCCGCCGGGTTCGGGCCCGAGGCCGCTCTCACTGCGCCACGGGTCACGCAAGGGGGTCCCTGTCCATCCCCGGATCGAGGACCTCCCATCTAGACTGTCAGGATGTCGGAGGCCCCGGACCCGGCTCGGCACGGGGGCAGCGCTCGAGCGCGTCCGGCCACGGCCCTCCCCGCTGGGCCTCCGCGGCCCTCCCGCGCGGGACGCCCGTGGTGCGGACGTGTGCGGGGGAGGACTGGTCCCGGCCTCTGGTGCCCGCAGCGTCTCCCCCCGCGCGGGCCCCCCCCCCCTGGGCGCCCTCCGGGGCCCCGCGGGGGGCCGCCCTCCACCGCCCGCCGAGCTACCCCAGCCCGAACCCGGAGGCCCCGATCTGCCCTCCACTTCCAGTGGGAGGGGGCTCGGGGAACAGGGAGGGGACACCTGTGGAGCCCGTCCCCCCCCCCCCCCCCCCTCCGATCTGCCTGCCCTCCATTTCCAGTGTGGGTGGGGGGGCTCGGGGAACAGGGAGAGGACACCTGTGGAGCCCGTCCCTCCCCCCCCCCCCGATCTGCCCTCCATTTCCAGTGTGGGTGGGGGGGCTCGGGGAACAGGGAGAGAACACCTGTGGAGCCCGTCCCCCCCCCCCCCCCCCAACCCGAACTCCCGGGCTTTCGGGTGGGGCTGGGGTGGTCTGGTATAGGCACAGTCAGCCCTGGAGGCCACCTGGAGGCCCCCCCGGGCATCGTCGGGCGCCCCGATGGAAGCCGAGGCGGCCAGCGTGTTTCGCCACTCCGAGCACCCGGGAGGCCAGCCTCGGGCCGGCAGCCAGAGCCACATGCTGCATGGTCGGAGCGCCCTCCCCCGGGGGGGCCACGAGGCCGAGAGGTCGGGGAGCCCCCGCACCAGAAGACTCAGGAGTGGCAGCGCTCGGGTGCGCGCCTTGTTTTTTTTTTCTGGCGAGGGCCATCGAGCAGCAGATCGGAGCGCCCTGCGACAAAAACAGAGAGGCGCGCACGGCATCGAACAATGCACGGGGAAGGGGCGTCCGAGCGATGGCGAGTCGGGCCAGGGCGGCTTCTGGCAGCACCCGAGCCTCGGCATCGTCTAGCCGCGGGAGGTCTTTGATGCTGCCGCCCCCCCCCAAAGCTCTTTGGCTGGCAGTCAACTCGGAGGAGAAAGAGGTACCCATGCAGCTTCCCTTCCCCCGTTTTCGTCCTTTGGGGCCTCCTGGGAGGCCCTCGTCGCCACCACTGGATTCGCCTGGAAATCCTGGACAGAACGCACCCCAGCAGAGGTCCAGGGAGCACAGTGAAAATCCACAGTAAGGACGGGTAAGCTTCCCAAGGGCACCCCTGCGTCCTTAGATTTGTTCGGCAGTGCGCCGCTAGTAAAGCTTAAATTGGGGCGTCCAAGGACCGTCCAAGGGTATTGCGTCCTTACAGCGCGTCCTTACTACAGGTTTTGACTGTAGCAGGAGGGCCCATGGCGTTCACACAACGGCTGCGGCGTGCCCCCCCAGAGCTAAAGCAAGCCGCAGCTCTCGGCCTCTCGACGGTGGAGCTGCAGTGGTGGTGGGGTCGTGCGTGGAGGCCAGCCAGCCAGATCGAGAGCCACCCGTTCCCCCCCCCCCCCCCGAACAACGTGTTCTCGGTAAGCTGGTCTTGCACAGCCCAGGAGTGCAAGCGTGTACTTGTCCGGCCGCTCTTGGTTACGATGTGTAGGTCTGACAGGTTCTTGCAAGCTCTCTGGGGAGAACGAGTGCGAGAGGGATAGAGAGAGAGAGAGAGAGATGACAAGACCAGTGGTTCCGATGTGACTGATCATAACATGCGGGCTGCGCGCTGGCCGCTCCAGTCCGCATAAGTGGATACGTGTGCCCCAGCCGTCAAGCTCCGACTTGCGACTGCGCATCGGGAGCCCTCCTCCGCACTCGAACGAAGCAAGGCATGGAGCTCTGGAGGATATTCAAATGACAAAGCCCTGCCCCAGTGCCGTGAACACCGGCGTCATGCTGGTGAAGTGCTGCGCGTGGTGCCTCGACCTTTTCGACCAGGTCTGGGCTTGCGAGCAGCGACTGTACCAGGCAGCACCGCGGGGTGGAGTGAAGCCACGCAGTGCGCCTCTACCCTCCTTCCCTTCTCCTCCTCCTCCCTCCACCCCTCCCTCCCTGATTGCTCCATGATTGCTCCGCTGCAGAAGATACCACCATGCAAGCACGTGGCATCACTGGACGAAAGCGCAGCAGTCCCGGGCACACAGTCCGGGCGGGAGACCCGAGCTGGACGGAGGCGCGCCAGCACAGGAATCGCGTGCCGCTCCACCACCCTCGCCAGGCCAGCCACAACTGGGGGAGCTGTGGTCCTTACCCCCCCTGGGGGACCCATCGATTTCGACACCCCTCTCGAGAGATCGTCGACGCGATGGGTTCCCCCAGGGGGGGTGAGGACCACAGCTCCCCCAGTTGTGGCCGGTCGGCTCGCAGTCGCCGCGCCGCGCAGCCGTGCCGAGAGCACGGCCGCCGTTCCAGTACCTTTCTCTCGGCGCCCACCCTGGCCGCCGTGCCAGCACGCACCCGCGTCCAGCACGCGCCGAGCAGCCGAGGCATCCGCCGGGGCCGCCGGTGCAGCACGCACGGTGAGGGCGGTGCCCCTGCCTCGACCGCAGCACTACTCTTAAGTCGGGCGTGTCCCCCTACAGAGGGGGATGTTCGACGAAAAATATAACATACCCCAAAAATAGATTCCAGAATATGCAAAACTGATGCTCAAAAGATGCCCCGAAATATTCAAAAAATGGTCCCCAGACTATTGTTTGACTATTTCTGAATATTCCCCCTGTAGAGGGACAGGCCCGATTTAGCACCACTCTGAGCAGCATGAAAGTTGGCTGTCAGGGGGGCCCCGGTCAGACTCCTGGGGCCACGAGCCGGACGGGAGCACCAGCCTTGGCCAAACCGATACCCCAGCGGGACAAAGCTTTTCCAAACTCGAGTTCGGAATCTGGATCGACCCACTGCTTCAACAAGAGAAGGCTACGCGCTACGCACACGAAACTTGTCTGGAGGTCCTCGCGGGCACGGCCTGGACAGAAACTCTGAACGCACGCTCCTACAGGCCCCATGGTCAGCACACCACCCGACTCCGCCCCCGCGTGGCCACATTTGGTAGGAACGGTGGGCCTGTCGGGCAACGCGCGGGGTGCCTCCGCAAGGGAGCAGGGAAGCTCGGGCTCGAGACGAACCCCTCTCGCCCCACAACAAACATTGAGAAGCCTTCCCAAATCTCTCGATGGGGCCAAGCTATCGGGCCACGGGCGAGCTATCGGACCAGGTGGTTTCCGAGCCTTCGGGTTTCCTGGAGGATGTCTTGGAGGGATCTTGGGCCGCCTTGGAGGCCTCTGGCGGGCCTTTTGGGCAGTCTAAGGCTATCTTCAGGCCACTTGCGGCCGTCTTGGGTGCATCTTGGGGCCATTTTCGCCGTCTTGGAAGCCTTCTTGGCCGTCTTGGAGGCATCTTGGAGGCCATCTTGTCCGTCTTGGATGACATCTTGGGCGTCTTGGGGGATTTTTGGGCCGTCTTGGGGTCTTGTTGGGGCCCTCTCGGAGGTCTCTTGGGTTGTCATGGGGCCATCTTGGAGGCCTCTTGTGCGCTCTTGGGGCGATGTTGGAGGCTTCTTGGGCCGTCTTCGGCCGTCGGAGAGCTGAAAAAACGAAAATGCAAAAATCCTTCAAGAACTTTAGGAAAATATTGAATTGTGTTCTTTCGGGTCTTCCTGGTGGAGCTCTTGGAGGCCTCTTGGGGCTCTCTTGGGCAGTCTTAGGGCAATTTTGGAGCCATCTTGGGCCGTCTTGGAGGCTTCTTGGACGAACTTGAAGGCATCTTGGACTCTCGGGCCGTCTTCGGGACATCTTGGACCATCTTGGACGATTTGGAGGCCATCTCGGGCCAACGTGACCAGCTTAGAGTCCATCTTGAGCAGTCTTGGAGAATTTTCTGCGGTCGTTCAGGTAGTTGCGGGGCCTTTCCGGAACCCTGGCGAGACCGGCCGAAGCCCCAGGGGGAGTTGTTTTGGAAAAGAACCAAAACCAAAATCAAAAGGATCTAGCACGCCGGGCACCCCTGTGGCAAGCCAGCAGGGGGGCGGCGGATCGAAGACGCCCATGGCGAACCACCGCCGCCCCCTGCCTTCGTGGAAGCGCCTATGTGCCCGAAAGTTGGGTTAGAGCTTGGCCAAACTATCGGACCATGTGTTCCCCGAGTTCGTCTGGAACGCCTTCGGGGAACACGTTGTCGAGGAAGAGGAGGAGAATGAGGAAAAAAGAGAAGGGGGGAGGAGGCCTCTTCGGAGCCTCTTGAGGCACTCTTGGGCTCAATTGGGCCATCTTGGCGTTATTGGAGGCATCCTGGGACCGCCTTGGAGGCCACATTGGGGCCATCTTGGGCTCTTGAGCTGACTTGATGAAACTACATGATGAGAAAAATGTGCACGACACTAGGGAGTGTGTCGTGGAACATTTTGGGCGAACAACCACGGCCGTGCCCAATCCTGATTCATCTTCGCCATCTGCTCTGTGCACGTTAGTCCAGGGGAGACGAGGGGACAAGGATGATGAGGGGGATCAGGAGAAAATGAGAAGGAACAAGAGGAGTCCGAGGTCGCGATTCGCCCTTGTGGAAGCGCCTATACGGTCGACAGTTGGGTTAGAGCTGGTCGACAGCTGGGTTAGAGCTTGGCCAAGCTAGCGGATCATGTGTTTCCCGAGTCGGTTTGGAAAGCCTTCGGGAAACAGTTGTGGGAGAAAGAGGAAGAGGAGGAGAAGGAGGAAAGACGAGAAGGAGGGAGTATGCCTCTTCGGAGCCTCTTGAGGCACTCTTGGGCTCGATTGAGCCATCTTGGTACCGTCTTGGACGCCATGTTGGGGCTATCTTGGGTTCTCGTAGAGCCTCTTGAGGGCCTCTTGGGGCACTTTGGGGGCTTCTCGGGGACCTCCTTGGCCGTCTGAGAACGTTCCTGATCCGTCTGACGCCGTCGGGGGCCGTCTTGGGGGCTTCTCTGAACTGACTTCGGGCCCTCTTGGGGCGCTTCAGGGCCGTCTTGGAGGCCATCTTGAGCGTCTTGGAGGCCTCTTGGGCCGTCATGGGGCCCTCTTCAGGCCGTCTTGGAGGCCTCTTGGGCCGTCATGGGGCGCTCTTGGAGGCCTCTTGGGCGATCTTGGGGGCCTCTTGTGCCGTCTTCAGCCGTCGGAATCCCAAAAAGACGCAAATGCCCAAATCCTTCAAAAACGCAAGGAAAATCAATGATGTTGGCCTCTTCGGGCCCTCCTGGAGGAGCTCTTGGAGCTCTTGGAGCGTCTGGGAGGCCTCTTGGGGGCCTCTTGGGCCGTCTTAGGCCATCTTGAGGCTATCTTAGGCCGTCTTGGGTGTATCTTGGGCCGTCGTGGAGGCATATTGGGGCCATCTCAGCCGTCTTGGAAGCCATCGTGGGCCATATTGGGGCCGTCTGGGGCAGGAAAACCGTTTGCAACGGGGTCTTCCGGGTGGCCGGCGGGACGGGCCAGAGCCCCAGGGGGAGTTCTTTTGAAACAGAACCAAAACCAAAACCAAAAGGATCCAGCACGCCAGGCACCCTTGTGATGAATCAACAGGGGGCGTCGGATCTAAGACGCCTACGGCGAATCACCGCCGCCACTTGCCTATTGGGAAGCGCCTATGTGGCCGAACGTTGAGGCCAGAGCCGTGCCAAGCTATCGGACCGAATCGGTTTGGAAAGCCTTCGGGGAACACGTGGGCATCTTGAAAGTCATCTTGGCCGTCTGGAGGCCATTTTGACCCTTTCGGGCCTTCTTGGAGGACGTCTTGGAAAACTCTGGGCCGTCTTGGAGGCCATCTTGAGCGTCTTGCATGCCTCTTTGGCCGTCTTGGGGGCCTCTGGGGGCCGTCGTGGGCCTCTTGGGCTTTCTTTGGAGGCACTTGGGCCGTCTCGGGCCGTCGGAAGGCCGAACAACAGCAAATGCCAGAATCCTTCAAACACTTATGGTAATCAATGATTTTTCGGCCCTTCCTGGAGGCCCTCTTGGAAGCCTCTTGGGCTGTCTTGGGCCATCTTAGGGCCATCTTCGGCCATTCTGGTGGGCTCCTGGCCCGTCCGACGCCGTCGGAAGCCGTTTGGGGGGCCCCCCTGGGCCGACTTGGGGCCCTCTTGGAATGCTCCAGGGCCGTCTTGGAGGCCATCTTGGGCCTCGTAAAAGCCTCCTGGGCCGTCTTGGGGGCCTCTTGGGGCCGTCTTGGGGGCCTCTTGGGCAGTCCTGAGGCCATCTTGGAGGTCTCTTGGGCGCTGTGGGGGCGATCTTGGAGGCCTCTTGGGCCGTCTTCCTGGAGGCTCTCTTGGAGGCCTTTTGGGCCGTCTTGGGCCAGCTTCGAGCCAACTTCGGCCATCTTGGTGGGCTTCTGGCCCGTCCGACGCCGTCGGAAGCCGTTTGGTGGGCCTCTCTAGGCCGACTTGGGGCCCTCTTGTGGTGCTCCAGGGCCGTCTTAGAGGCCATCTTGGGCGTCTTGGAGGCCGCTTGGGTCGTCTTTGTGCCCTCTTGGGGCAGTCTTGGGGGCCTCTTGGGCAGTCCTGAGGCCATCTTGAAGGCCACTTGGGCGCTGTGGGGGCGATATTGGGGGCCTCTTGCGCCGTCTTGAGTCGTCGGAATGCTGGAAAGGAGCAAATACGAAAAACCTTCAAACATTTATGGAAAATCAATGATTTACAGGTGCAGCCCGTAATTTGATTTTCGCGAGGTAGACAGACTGAACTGAACCACCAGGCCGTTAGATGGCAGTTTTAGTTCCGCGGGTGAGGATATGTCGGTAGCAGTTTTAAGCCAGCGGGTGAGGTTATTTCGGTGGCACTTCTAAGACCGCGTATGAGGATATGTCGGTGGCAGTTTTAAGCCAGCGGGTGCGGATATTTCGGTGGCAGCTTTAAGCCAGCGGGTGAGGATATTTCGGTGGCAGTTTTGAGCCAGCAGTTGAGGATATTTCGGTGTTTCAGCGGGTGAGGATATTCCGGTAGCAGTTTAAGCCAGCCGGTGAGGATATTT